CATAAAAAGAATAAAATATTTTTCATCAATAAAACAATACCAATTATTTTACATCATTAGATTAGACACTTTTATTGAATATTTCTAATTTTTACATTAAAAATACACCATTTTCATTCTTTTCTTCTTTTATTATCTATTCTATTTTATTACTCTTTATCTTCTTTCTTTTTATATTCTCTACTTTCTACTTTATTTTTATTCTTTACTCTAGTTTATTTTTATTCTTTTATATCTTTCTTCCTCCTCTTTTCTATTATTTGCTTTTTTCGTTGCCGTATTATCATATTGGTTAATAAGAAAATACACATGAAATAATCAATATAAAAAACCACCATATGAAACAGTGTTCAAATATAAAGACATCACAATGATATTGAACAAACAAATAATGCCTAAAAGTGAATGACAATATCACAAAATACCAGACATATATGTATTAGATAAAAAGAATAAAACTGGTCTATTATTTGATATAACTATTGTGGCTGATCATAATATTAATGGAGCCTATTGGAAGAAAAGAAATATGTATAATGAATTAAAGAATAGAATAATGAAAATAGAAAAACTAAAAGATGTCAAAATAAATCCAGAAGTAATTTCAATTAATGGACTAATGAATAAAGAAAGTAATAAATTAATTAAAGAATTAAAAATTGACATTAACATCGAGAAAGAAATTAAAAACCATTGTAATAAAAACATGATGGATGTCATGGAATACTGCTTCTATCACAACCAAACATACTCCGTAGAGCTGCTAGAAGAAGACTCATTTGGATTAGTCTCCCCTAAGCCATTAACAATAGAAGCTATTTCTATTAATACTTAGTTAATTGCTTTTTATTATTTATTAAAACAATGAAAAAATACTAAAAATAAAATAAACTAATTATAGAAAATAACAATATTATAATTTTATTATTATTATATTATTAATATTATTATATATTTATTGTTATTGTAAAAATGATAAAAATAACATTTATTTAAAATAGAATGATGATAAAAATAATGAATGATTTGATATGTTAATAACGTGGATTAACTATTTAAACATCCGTATTTTGAACTTATAAACATCAAATTAAATTAAAATGGAAGAGTTAATAAATAAGAATAATCAATTGTTTAAAGAAGTAGTAGAAACACTTCCACATATTCAACAATCAATTGATGATACTACTAAGAATTATCAATATTACGTAGGAAGTATTAAAAAGAAGAAGAAACAAGATGGAGAGAAAATACAAAGAATGAGAGTAATTGAACAAATGCAACAACTAGAAGAATGGACAGAAAGAAGAATAAACAATATACTATTTGATTCAGATATTGATGATTGGAATAAAAATACATCAGTATTTGATCAAAGAATAATGAATAAAGAACATATAATAATTATTATTGAAGATGAAGAAGGAAATAAATTTGGAGGATATGTTAATTCTAAAATTGATAAAATTAATGATTATATAAATGATTCAAAATCATTTGTATTTTCATTAGAGTCAAAAGGAAGAATTGAAGGAATGAAGAAATTTGATATTAAACAACCACAAAATGCATTTTATTTATATAATCAAACAACTGATTGTTTGTTTGCATTTGGATTTGGAGGCGGATGTGACATTTGTGTTTTTAAAGAAAATAATAAAACAAAATCACATTGTGATCCATGGTCATTTGAATATAAAGGAATATCAAATGCACTTTGTGGAAAATTAGGATCAGAATGTTTCATACCAAAACGAATCATAGCAATTGAAATGATTCAATCTTGATTAATTGAAAATGAAATAAAAAAAGAATAAAAACAAATCAATGAAGAATATGAATAGCCATTTCATTCATTGATAAATGCATGAAATAGTGAATTAAAAATGGACATAATTCAATGTTGATTTATTTTATTTCATTTGAAATATTCACACCCAATGAGGGTGTTTTTAATAAATAAGAAAAGAAATAAGAAATAAATAGAAATAAGATAAAATAAACAAACAAATTATTTGTATTATTTCATTGAATTAATTCATTATGAATCAAATGAATAAGATAATAGAAATAGAAATAAGAATAATAAACAAATAAAGAAAAGATAAAATACATCAACATATTTATGTTATTTCTTATTCTTTATTCATTCTTATTTTCTATTTAAACAATAATAAACAAAACATAATAAGAAATATAAATAAGAATAACACAACATAAAATAAAGAATAATAATAAAATATACAACAAACATGAATAAACAAGAAATGACAAATGATAAAAGATGAACTAAATAAAATAACAACAAGAATAAATAAAATAGAATGAAATGGAAAGAAATAGAATAAATTGAGTGATGTTTATAAAAGAGGAAATGACAAAAAGAAGAAATGAATGATGATTATAAAAGATAAAAATAAAATAATAAATATAAAATTAAAATTAAAATAACATAATAATATAATAACAATATCATTGATTTTATTCTTATTTTATTCTTATTTTATTTATCTTCTTTTATTATTTTTATTCTTCTATTTTATTAAATGAAAATGAATGAGAAATGAAGAATGAAAATCAGAAACAACACACAAACATTAATACAAAATCAAATAATGAAATATTAAATAATAATTGAATATGATGAAATAATTTAATAAGAAATATAATAAATAATAATAGAACGAATGAAATAAAATAATATGAAATAATAATAAGAAAATAAAAAGATATTAATGAAGATATTAATAATAAATGAAATTATACATAATATAATAATAATGAAATAATCATTCATAAAATAAGAAATAAAGAAAGATGATATTCATTAAAATTCAGATAAAAGTCATTAAAAATCAAATAAAAATAAACAGAAAGAAGAAAGAAGAAAGAAAAGATATTAAAAGAATTAAATAAAATGAGTTATTCATAAAACAAGAAGAAAATCTAACTAATAAATAAAACAAATAAAATATTCATTTTAAAAATGTATGAAGGGATTAATATCTTCTGAGCTAGGAAGAATAGATAAAATTTCGATTAATATTTAATTATCTAATGTTTATTTATATTTCCTCCTTTCTTATTTTTTCAAATTAACAAAAAAAAAATAATCAATAAATCTAAAATTCATTAAGATTAAAAGGTTATTCAAAATGGAATGAGGCATATGTTGAACTATCATATTTAAGTCCATTCCTTTTTACAGTTTTTCTTGCCTTTTTAGTTTTCTTAACTTTCTTTTCTAATTCATCACTTTCATCTTGTTGTGTATCAGTTTCAGTGGTTTGAGTTTCTTTAGTGTGAGAATCATCACTATCTTCTTCTTCTACTTCTTCTGGCATTTTTGTTTCTGACTTAATAACAGCACACCTTGTCTTTATGGGTTGATTTTCTTCAACGTTTTCTTCAACATTTTCTTTAGATTCACAAAGTTGTATAGCTGCAAAGAAATGTCTTATTACATACTGAACACTTTGAATAAAATCATAAGTCGAATGTAAACAACATACATCAGAAGTATTCATATGTAGTTTACATGAATCACATTCTTTTAATGTAATAGACTTTAGTACATTTTGAAAAACACTTACTTTTGGAGTTACAACTACATGTTGTTGAGCTAATTTAACTAATAGCTCTTTCTCAAATTCTACTAAAGACCTTGACAAGAAATGAGTAATAAATAATGTTGGAATTAGTTTAGTAAGTTTTCCAACAAGACAAACAACAATTGTATCTTTATTTTTTGTAATAAAATCAATATATTCATTCATTTTATCAATACACAAATCGTTTGTAAGGTCATGAGATTCAAAATAATCATTTATTCTTTCACAAGAAGGAGAGTAATAAAAATTATCGTTGAATGGTTTAAGATAAAATACTTGTTGATCTATTATTTGTAACTGAGACAAATCAAACATTGTAAACGCTACTTCTAATGGTGAACCATCTGAATATGATGTTGTATTAACAAATAAAATATTTGTTTTTAAAGTCCAGACACTTTTAACAAATTTAACTGATGGTAATGTGTCACTTCCGATAATTGTTGCTCCATAACTTTTCATACAAATTAATTCCATTAATGAAGTGTGACGTGCATCTGATAATGCACAATGATATTTTTGATTAATTTTTTTATGATACTCACAACGTTCTGCACATTCTAATTGTTTAAAAATATGATTTAATATAAATGAAGATTTTTCATGAAGTTCAATATGTTGAATAGAACACCAATAATCAAATAATTGAATATGAGTAATAAATCGAATTTGTTTTGGAATTGGAACATTTCCACGTAAAAAAATTTCGTCAATACATTTTTTATCTCCTGCTAGTGATTCTTCTTTTGATACAAAGAATGCAAGTCCTGGAAATTGTTCAATATATTTTATTAATTCAATACATACTAAAGAATAGTTTTGTTCTAATCTAGGATCACGAGCATCAATCCCATGTATCATTTGTGTTCGGGCAAACACATTTTTAAATTTTCCTGGATATAATAATTTATGATATGAAGCTATTTCTTTATTCTCCTTTAATGAATAACTTGATATACCAATTTCAATAGGAAAAATCTTCTCTGAAAATTGAGCTGCATATTCAAAGTCATAAAAATGAAATACTCCATTTTCTAATGTCTGGGCTAAGTCTTTTATTAAACTTACTTTAACATTTCTTGTTTGGTTTGGCTTTTTATTTTTCTTGAATATTTCTTTTGTTTGTTTTGGAGAAGAAGTAATGTGAAGACAACGAGGGTTATAAGACATGTTAAGAAGAAATAATTAAACTCAGAAATATTAGCAATAAAATTTAAAAAGAAAAAAGAAAAAAATAATAGTATATAAAAATAGTAAAAAAATAATAATATTATAATATTATCATCTCATATTAAAATCTCATTGTTATTTTAACTTGACGTACTTTTATGATTCAACTCAAATTACCACCAATTCAATTACCTACAATTATTATTACAAATACTATTAAACACACTCCATTTCAAACTAGAAAAATTAATGTCAAAACAATTGAAGAAAATAAAAGAGAAGAGTTAATGAAAGAATATTATATAATTTACCAAGAAATAGATGAAATTGAACGTTATAATAATAATGGTTATATTGAATATGATAAATACAAAGAAATAATTACTCAATTACTTCATAGTCTTAATACTCTTAAAGAGAATAGATTTGCTGTTGGAATTGACAGTAGAATGAAAGAGTTTATTAATGATTTAGTTCTAGCAAAAAAAAGAGTAGAGAAAGGAGTTCCAAATAGTTGTAGTAAAATTAATTTGGTAATGTCATTAATAAAAGCACCTAAACAATGGAATGATCTAATGGAATTCCAGAAATATTTATTCAAATTACTTCATGCTACATCAGATTTTAATCTTGAAGGAATACAGTCTATTCATGATAAAATTAATTTCTTAATCTCTTTACAAAAAATACCTCCTATTGATACTATTAGTCAAATAGAACAAGAATTAATTAATCTTATTCAAAAAAATTCAATTTAAACTTAATTTATTTATTTTTCTCTTTAAATTCTATTTCCAAAAACAAAACTTACAACACAATACATGAAAAAAGTAATAATTCAATAATAAAAGAATAAAAATTAATATCAATGAAGTAATTCAAATGATAGAAGAATGGGTGAAAATAAATATTATCTGTATGAATATAAATGCACTAATGGTATAGTAAATATTATCACAACAATTACTCTAATAATGATATGAAGTATTCAACTCAGCTTCATTATCATAAATATATAAACAACAATTCTCATAGACATAATAGAATGTATCATAATTTAATAATAATAATATCAAATTTACAAAAATAAACAGAGAAAAAAAGACATATAAAAAACAAAAGAAAATGAATTTCAGAAATAATAAAAGACAATATAAAATAATCCAGTTAATAGAATGAAGAAAATATTTAGTAAGAAAGATTTAATACTTCAATGAATTCAATTAAATAAAATGAAAGAAAAAATTGATGGAAACAGTGTATTTGAATAAGCAACAATTAAATTAAATAGAAATTAAGACAAAATAAAATTATTAATTATATAAAAATAATCCCTATAATTAATCTAAATGGTTTATTACACAAAGAATTAATAAAAATATTACAATTACAAAAAGTTCAATTGGATCTTAATAAAATATTTCAAATACTCCCCTATAAAAAATGAAAAAACTAAATATTTTAATATTTAGCTTTGACAATATATTAGAAGATGAGATTTCTAATTAGATATTTTAAAGAATAATATTAATTTAATTAGATTATATCAAAGTTCATTCAAATGGTTATTTCTTAGTTATATGTTCTATATAATCCAATGACTTTTTTAAATAGTTAATATTCTTCATTTTTTATTTTGATAAATACTTCTAATATTTATTCTTTTAATTTATTTAGTTTTATACAATTAAATTAACAAATCTTTGGAATTTTTTTGTAAAGACAAGTTAGTTAATACTTATTTAAATATCATCTTTTCATAATTATTTAATATCATCGTTTCTAAAAATAAATTCATATTTATGTATTTTCTTTTTTCCAAATAAATCCAACTCAATTAATTAGTCAATGAACTAAGCTTTTTTTATTAAAGGTGTTGTTATATTGTTCGTTTGGCTAAAAATATAACCCAAGAATATATTAATGGTATAAATGAAAAATACCTTCTATCACAACACTCAAAACAGCAAATTTATTATCTTAATAATTTACTTAATATTCTTATTTTTAAATTATGTAAATATTCTATTGGTAAGAAAGGAATTTATTTTGTTTCTAATTTAATAGACTAAGAATGGATTTGCCATTTATTCTAGTTTTAATCAAAAATATTTTACTTTATTAAAAATACATTTAATTAGAATAAATAAAGAACTTATTAAAATTGAAGTTTCTTAGTGGATGTATTGTTAAATTAAGATAATAAAAATAATTTCATTTATTTTATAACAATTTTATTGAGTTAGAAACAGAATAATTAATATTGTAAAGATTTGAAACCAATTGTGATTTGTTTTAGTATTTTTTGTATATTTAACAATTCAAAAGTGTTAAGAACTTATTAAATTCACTTTCATTGAATAAACGTGTTATTGTTATATGAATAAAAAATGAATTAATATCATATGCTGATGGAATATAAGAAGTAATTTTTATAAATTACTTTACATTATTACATTCTTATTCTATCATTATTTTTCTTTTGTAAATATAACACAGTCGTTTGGTGAGTAGGAAAAGTGCTAATGAAAGAATCATAAGACACAACTAAAAAAATCAGTTTGAACAAAAAATGAAAGGAATTGAAAGAAAGAAACAAAAAAACAAATTTATGAAATATAACAAACAAAATAGAAATTCCACAAATTGCAACAAGGGAAAAACTAAGAAATCAAAAATAAATATCAAATTCATATGAATTTCTCTATTTTTGGATTTAGGTTTTTCTCTTAAATCTCTTCTTTCTAAAAGAAGTAATTAAAAAAAGATGAAAAATTAAAAATTAAAAAAAAAGAATTAAAAAATCATATTTTTAATGAAAGGAATTTTCTTCCTTCTATGCATCCTTCTTGTTCTTGATTCTTTTGCTTTGTCGTTTAATGACGATTATTCAGACTTTTTAGATGATGCCCCTTCTCCAAAAAATTCAAAGAAAGCTCAAAAACCTAAATCAAATCGTAAGGCATCTACTAAACCAGCTAACACACCAAAAAATAATCAAAGAGTAAAACAAAATAAGAAAACACAAGCACCACAACCAAAAAGAACAGTTCAAACTACTACAAAAAAACCAACTGTAGCTTCTAAACAAAGAAAACAATTAGTTCAAGTAACTACTGATAAGAATGGTAAGAAGACTGCTACTGTTTCAAAGAATTTAGGTCCAAACACTAAAGTCTCTGGATCGGTAAGTGCTCAAAAAACTCCAAACGGTATTACTGCTGGTGTTTCTGGAAATATTAACTACAACAAAGGCCCTATAACAGCAACAGCTAAAACTGGATATCAAACTTCTCCTCAAGGACAAAGTTATGGTGCTTCTGTTAATGGTAAATACAGTAAAAATGGTGTTAATGTTAATGGAAATGCTTATTATGGTAAACAAAACGGTGTTAATAAAGCTGGTGCCAACATAAATGCCTCTTATGATAGTAAAAAAGTTCAGGCTAATGCAAAAGCAGGAATTAATAAAGATGGTAGTTCTACTACTTCAAGTGCTAGTGCCAGTGCTACATATAAACCAAATGGTAAAACTACAATTTCTGCTGATGGTAAAGTTTCAAAAACTAATGGACAAACTACTATTCAAGGTAATGCAAATGCTTCATACAATGGAGATAAATTACAAGCTAATGCTGGTGTCAATTTTAATAAAGATTCTAATGGTAAAACTACAAGTGCTAGTGCCAGTGCTACATATAAACCAAATGATAAAACTACAATTTCTGCTGATGGTAAAGTTTCAAAAACTAATGGACAAACTACTATTCAAGGTAATGCAAATGCTTCATACAATGGAGATAAATTACAAGCTAATGCTGGTGTCAATTTTAATAAAGATTCTAATGGTAAAACTACAAGTGCTAGTGCCAGTGCTACATATAAACCAAATGATAAAACTACAATTTCTGCTGATGGTAAAGTTTCAAAAACTAATGGAAAAAAAACATATGAAGTAAATGGAAAAGCAAACTACAATGGTGATAAGTTACAAGCTAATTTAAATGCACAAGCTAAGAATGATGGAACAAATAAAGTTAGTTCTATTAGTGGTGATGCTACATATACTAATGGTGGCTTAACAGCTAAAGTTGATGGAAACATGGCTAATACTAATGGTGAAAAGAGTAATGAAATACATGGCTCTCTTAATTACAAAAGTAAAGATGGTAAATTTGATGGATCACTTGACGCAAAACGTTCTAAGAATAGTAATGGTGTTTCTCGTTCAGCAAGTGCTACAGGAACATATAAAGTCAATGAACATTCAACATTGAGCAGTAGTGGATCAGTTAAATCAACTCCAGATGGCAGAAGTAATACATTCTTTAGTCAATTGGATTATAAAGCAGATAAATTTACTGGGTCATTAGACATAAAACACACAAAAGATACTAACGGAATAAAGACTAATTCTGCTGGAATTAGTGCACAGTTTAATCCAAATGATAAGTTTGGGGCTAGTTTAGGAGGTAGAATAAGTAATATTAATGGAAAAAGGAACGTTGGTTTAGAAACAAAGCTAACCTATAACTTAGATGATAAAAATAAGGCATATGCCTCATTTATAAAAGACCAAACAAATAATAATAATATACTTGGATTTGGAGGAAGTTATGAAAGTAAGAATGGTAAGTTGAGTGCTACTGGTGATTTTTCCTTTAGTAAAAATTCTCAAAACATTAATGGACAAATTAATTTCTTACCAACAACTAATACACAAATCTCAGCTAATGGAATGTATACCAAGTTAAATAATGAAAAAGACTGGAGGTATGGAATTAAAGCCCAACATCAATTTAATGATAAATGGTCTGGTAGTCTCGAAGTAGGCAAGTCATCAAAGAATGGTTTGGAGTATAGTGCAGGAGTTAATTATGACCTTGGAAAGAATTCACATCTTAGTTTAACTGCAGGTAAATCAGCTGATAAAGGTGGATATGTTGGAGCTGGTTTTAAATGGGATTTCTAAATTTAACAGAAATATAAATATTTTTGGTTGGTTTTTCTTTAAATAAGAATAAAAGTAATTTTTCATAAATTATTATTAATTTAAATTTAGTTTTTACTTGAGTTATTAAAGAATAAATAACATTAATACTTCAAATAATATGCTACTTTTTAATTACAATTAATTTATGTTATTTCTAATCTAAGTATAATCAAATGAATTAATTCGTTAGGAATAAAATAATAAAAGACATAAAGTATAATTTTATTTATTAATATTGATTTAGTTATTATTTAATTAAACCAAGTTTAACAACAGTATTAATAGAGGAGTGTATTATATCTATTTGATTTATGAAGAATTATTATATTAGAAATATAAAAAGGAATTGAGTATATTATGATAAGGTTATATTGTTTTTTGACTATAATAAAAATAAACTAAAATCAGTAATATGTAAAAATACAATTAGTATTGATAAATGATGAATAGTTTCTTTCAATACCTTTAGGTATTTTTAATTTAGTTAATGAATAACAATTGAAAAAACAACAAGAACCTATTTTTGTAATAGTAGAAGGTATTTCTAATATACTTAAATTAATACATTGTTCAAAACAAGAATTGTTAAATTGAGTAATTGCAAAAGATTTTGACTTTGGATAGAAGAATATTTGTTGAAGTGAAGTACATTTAAAAAAACAATATGAAGGGAGTTCTTTGATAAGTGCAGATATTGTAACTGACGTTAATTGATAATTATATGAGAAACAATATGTATTAAGTGTAAGAATAGTACTTGGAAGGTTTAGTTCCTTTAAATAAGGACATTTAGAAAGTGAATTAGAACCAATATTTCTTAGAGTAGAACCAAAAGATATTGTTTGTGAATTATAATATTCAAGACTATCATTTTCTAATGAATGACACGATTCCTTTAATAATTTACCAAACTTAAAACAATCTTCTTCAGAATAACTTATATTTTTAAAAGAAATTGATGAATAAAAACGTTTATAATAAAGATATTGTGAATAACTTATTTTAAAAGAAATAACAATATTTTTTACTTGATTCATTAAATATTCATTAATATCATTTTGGTTATAAAGAAATAATGTTTTAATGGATGGAAAAAGATTAAGAGATGAAATAGAAATAGGATTAAATAAATACATTTCATTAATTCTTTTAAATCTTGAATTTGTCATTATTAAATTAATATAATCTTTTTTTGTTTTAAAATATTTACCAACAATCATCATTGAATAATTATCAATTTTTTTCCTGTTATTCATTTCTGTTCTTTCTTTTTATTGTTTATTAGTTTCAAAGAGAATAAAATCTTTATTCTTATTTATATGATTTGTTATTTTAAATTAAACTGGATTATATTTTAATAACTCATTTTATTTATCTTTTTTTTATTTTAGACATTAATTCTTTACTGTTTCTCACTTATTATTTCTTCAATTCTCCTCAAAAAAAAAGGAATTTGAAAATATCATAAATCAAATCTTTTTAAACAATAAATGAATTAAATTAGGTTTCAAGACAAATGTCTTCTCCTTATTATTCATTTGAAACTACACTATATCACTCACTCTCTAAATAGATTAGTTGTTCTGATGTTACTATATCCTATGTCTGCCAGAATGAAAATAAGTTTTTTTTAATAAATTAAAGAAAATGATTTTTCATTTCTAAAAAAAGATAAAAGACAAATTAATATTAATGAAATAAAGAATAAAATACTGAACAATTTTAACCATTTGAGAAAAAAAGAGAAAAGAATAATAATAATAGTTATTTTTTATTTAATAATATTTTTCAAGTGTTATTATTATTATATGAAAAAAGAAAATATTTTAAATTTTTATAAATCATTCTCTTTTTTTAAACTAACCTTAATTAAATAATAATTTAATTTTTGATTGAAATAACTGGAAATAGATTATATAGAAAATTTGATATTGAAACAATTGATATTAAATTATTTGGTAATTCCCTTTTTATTATTTTATTAATCTTTTTTGATATTCATAAGAAAATGTCTATAATTTTAAACAGAAATAATATTAAAATGAAAGAATTGGTTTTATAATTCATCAAAACTATTACAGTCTTTTTTCTTTAGTTCTTCTTTTTGTTCGTGGTGATAATGGTATGATGTAAGTGGTTTTTGATAATAATTTTTATTTCTCCTATTTTGTTCTTCAATCATTGCTTGAAACAATTCTTCTGCTCTTTCATTAATCTTTTCTTCAATTTCAGCTTCAGTCCAAACAGAAGGAGGTTGTTGTGTGTTTTCAAAAGTCATGGAAATGAGATGAAAAAAAATCTTTTTTGATAATTTTTAAAAATTTTTATTATGAAAAGATAATAAAAAATCTGAAATGAATAGATTTTTTCTTGTCTCAATTTTCTTTTATGAGATTATAATTATATCAGTCTTTTAAATAAGACATAAAATTATAATTAACTCATCTTTTTCTAAAAGAAAACTAATAGACATAGAAAATATGAGTTAAATCTATTAAATGAATGAAGAAGAAATATAATTTAAATAAAACTAACTTATTTGACGATTTTATTTTTTAAGATAACAAAATAAGAAGATAATTGTTTAATAAAAGAAAAATAAAATGTGATTGATTAATAAAACCAATAAATTAATAAGAAATGATGAATGATCAATAATTTATCTCATTGAATTAACAAATGAACAAAATTGTCCCCAAGCTGTTCCATCATCAAGAAGAGCTCTAGTCATTCTTAAATAAGTGAATGAAATAAGTCCATTACTCTTAGCTTGTTTTACAATTTGACTAAATCCATTAGTATTACATCCTCCATATCCACATAATTCAAGTGCATTTTCTCCACATTTTCCAATTCCAGCTGATCCAGCAGCTTTATAAGCTTGAGAAACAAGATTAGCAGGTGTAGAACCACAATTTCCATCAGTTCCACTCATTTCAAGACAAGTAAAATCAAATCTAGCTCCAGATTTTTTAAATACATTAGCAATATTAGCATATGCATTTTGATTATTTGTGTTATAATAACCAGCAGTTAACTCAGCAGCATGTGATTGATCATTATACCACCAATGAATACCTGCAACTTTACCTGCAATAGCTAAATTACCAAAAACTGATTTAGCAGCAGAAAGAACATTATTAGCATGATCAAGAAGGAGTTGTTGGTACCATCCAAGGAAGAATTTACCATATTCACTTTTATAATTATCATTTCCATTTCCAAAGAATCCTGTTGATGATGGTGGTTTAGAATTATAATTTCCTGCATTTGATGGAGATGCATGTCCCCATTCTGAGTGTCCAACATTTGATGCTGCAGAAGCTAATTTAGAAAGAGAGTTTTTATCAGAACATTGGAATTCACCAACACCACAATATGACCAACGAGATAGAGGATAAGAAGGATATCGAGTTTCACCACAAGGTCCCATTCCTACTTGAATTTCATTAATAGTTCCATCATTAATATAACTAGAAAATGTTGATTTAAATGAAGACATAAAATCTTTATACATTTGAAGTGGAGTTCTTCCTTGGAAAATAGACATTGAATCAGCAGAGAAAGCAATATATTCATCATTTTTATTTCCTTGTGGGTCTTTAAAGAATGCATCTTGAGAGGAACCAGCATTTCTTACCCATTGTGGAATTGGGATATTCACTGAATCTCCAACATTTCCTCCACACTTATGGAAGGACATAACAGCTTGGAATTTTAATCCAGTTTCTTTACAAAGAGCAATAAGTTCTTTATATCCATTCCAATTATAACTTTTTGGTGATGTCTCTACAAGTCCCCACCAAACATCTCCCATAACACCAGCAACTCCACCAGATTTTAATTTACTAAAGTCTTTTTTAAGTTGATTTTTATTATTTAAACCATTTGATGTTACTACGTCAAGTGGTAACATTACATTAACTTCAACAGCAAAAGCTATTGATATAAAACATAGTGTTAATAACATCAAATAATGATTTAATTAGTTACTAATTCAAAAACATTGAAATAAGTCTCTTCTTCTACATGTCTCCATGTAGAACTTCTACCGCTTCTTCTTTGTTCTTTTTATATATTCTTGACATTGAGTGACTAGATAAGATGTTTCTACAGAGTTTTTATTTTTTTATTTTTTTTTTTAGAAGAAAGAATATAACAAGAACAACCATCCTACATAATTACTCTGAAATGAATTTTTAAAGAAGAATGACTTTATTAAATAAATTATTAATAACACCTATTTCTCAATGGAAAAATAATTATTAGTTAACGTTTTTATACATAAAATAAATAAACATAATTTCTTAAAAATTTTATTATTTACATATTCATTAGTCATCCATTAATTATAAATTTTAATTATGAATTTAATGGCTATGAAATTTTTAAAAAAAAAACAGAAAAAATAAATTTTTCAAAAACATTTATGCGATTTATGACCAGGAAACTATAAAAACAAAATTCTATTATAAATTGGTTTATATTTCACTGGATTGAAAATGAAAATAAAATTACCTAGGCTATTAATAGATTTATTTTTGTGAATATTTCTTATTAAAAATACTAAAAAATTTATTATATTAAAAGAAGTCGTTAAAAATTCTTCTATTAAAATTTTGTTTCCTTCTTTTCAATTATTGTCGAAAATATTTTTATAAAACTTCTTGTTTTTTTTTTTAATAAAACATCGTTTTGGTTGGGTAGAATTAAAATAGAAGTTGGTAGTATGTTGGTTAAAAGAGTGGTATATAAATAGCTTTGAATCGAATATCTTTTTAGAAAAAATCAATTGGGAACAAAACACAATAAAGATGTTACATTAGTTTCATTTGAAACTAATCCAACTCACTTCATCTTTAAAATTACTAATTAACGAAGACCATTATGGAACAAGTAAATCAAGTAACATCTAATTCAACGGAGAGTAGATGTAAAAGAGGAAATTCTATTAATGCTAGAAAAGAAAGAGAGTTTAAGAATCAACTAGCTTTTCAACATTGTTTATTAATTGGTGTATTAAATCAATTTGCTTCAATCGTTTTAGAAAAACCTGGGAAACAATCAAAGATGACAACAACTATTCCTTTTGTATTTTCTATTATTATTGATAAAACGATTTTAAATATTAAAGATTTAGCTGAATATCAATGTAGTTTAATTAAAAAAGAAGAGATTCAGAATAGACTACCATTTAAAACAGTTAATAGAAGATATAAAAAGAATATTTCAGCTACAATTATGAATCTAGTTTATGATATTTGTTATGAACTTGGTGTTAATTTCATTTCAAAATTATCGAAACAGTCTAATAAATCAGTTCAAATTGAAAGAATAGATAAAATTTATTTAAATGAACAAGATATTATCCCAAAAGAAAATATTATGTCATTTGGTAGACAAATTAACTTATATCTTCTTTCTCTTCTTTCAAATAAAAAACAATTAGTTTTAAAAAAAGAAGATAAATCTATTCAGTCTTTACTTGCGCAATCAATATTACATTCTTCAATCAATTCTCCTTCTTCTCAGATTCCTTTAACTATCTCATCTTCATTTTAAATCTCAACAGAAGATTTGAATCAAATTATTGTACATTTTTGATTAGTTTATTTTATTGTTTATTTTTATCGTTTTTTTTATTTCTTTTAAAAAAATTTGTTTTTATTTTTTTTTAATAACAAAAATTTATAAATCCGTTATTTTTATGTTTTTCAAGAAGACTAAAAATAGAATATTTAAGATGTTTTCAATTTTTTTAAAAAGGGAAAATAATTCATGTTTAAAAGATATTTCAATATTTTAAAAAAGGTCAATTAATAGATATATCCATTATTGAATATTATGAATACTGAGAAGTGTTTATTGCAGTTTCTTCAATATGCTCTATTTGTGTAATAGAGTTCATTTCTAGCATGCTCGCATTAGATTGTTCTTCTTCTAATGTGCTGCCAGAATTGAATGTGTAAAACATTAAGTCTTTCATATTTTTTATAATTATTGTTTGTAGGATTTTGGAAAAATCTAATTGTAATTTCAGTGATTTTATTCTTCTTGCTGACTCTTTATGTATTAATCCATTTATTGATAATATTACAGGTATTATTTCTACATATATTAATTCTCTATTGTTTCTTAATTTCTCTTGTAATTCTTTGTATTTATTTATTTTATGAATGTAATTTAATTCTATATTCATATCTTGACATATAGCAACATCTATAATATATCATTTCTTTTCTTTCATATTTTGATAATATATATCTGGTCTTCTATCATGGAATGAATTGTCACTAACCAATAAATCTTTATTGTAAGTTATAACTATTTTATCATTATTAATACATTTTGGAGGATTATTAAAATCAAATGAATCAAATTCATTAAAATGGGTAATTAATAAATGTTTAAATATTTGCTTACAAACATAATCATGTTTTAATATTGTTTATATCTTCGTTGTCTGTTATTATGATATTTATTTTATTTTGATACTATTGTTTATTTCTATTGAAATTATTATTATTAAAGTGTTTATGACGATGATTATGATTGAAGTGATGAGTGAAATAATTCATATCAACTATGTTGTGATAGTTATTGTGATAATTATTATTGTAATTTTTAATGTGGTGAATAAAGTAATTCTGTCCATACAAATAATACCTATTTTCACTCATTCTTCTATCATTTATATTTCTTGGTTGATGTGAATTTCTTCTTTGATTATTTGTTTTTCTATATTTTTTGTGGTGTAGTTTGTAATGCATCTTGTTGGGAAAAAAAAGAATTCAATTTAAATTAGACAAAGAGTTGTGGGTTTGATCCATAAAATCCTTGTGAAGCTTTGGATTTGATAGATTAGACTTACGAGTCTGAGTTGGCAGTCTTTTCTTATTAGTCTTAATAGGCTTGACTTGTTGGTACTTATCGTTCATTAAACTAACCAATTCCTCAATTGGTAGATTGACAATGTCTTTGGGAACTTCTTCTATCATAGAATCATCTTCAACGCTTGCTGGGTCTGTGCTTGGTTGAGCTTGATGGAATACCTCATGCAAATCTTCTAACTCAAAACTGTTTGGGTTAGGCATCTGATAAGTTACTTTGTATAAATCTCGTTGATAATCAGACAAAGTACAGAATGCCAATCAGTAATGTTTGAGTGGTTTGAGGCACAGTATCCCATCCAGCTGGCAAACGCATTGTTCCAAGCTTTATGCCAGGGAGCACAGCTGTTCTTGGAGATCGAGTATATAAGGTAGGTTCAACAACCATAATGTCATAATTGTTCGTATAAGAGAATGTCACAGTTGGTATTTTGAATGTGATTGATTTATTTTGTCCTATATTGACAAAAAGTGATGTGTTTGTAATAGTAATTTCTCGGTAACCACTTGATATCAAGTTAAATAGTGAAGTAAGACTATTTCTCAAGTTATCAAATTTGTATTGCGAACCTTTCGAACGAATTTCATCAGCAATTGAAGCCTCGGTAGCTTCTGTTGCTGCTAATGTAAATAATAGATGACCAAATTCCATCAAAAAGTTTTTCCACATCGGTGCAGTACAGTCAAGTGGTGTTTGAAACGGTACGGCACATATCTTAAGTACTGATTGATAATACTCAGGAATTGCAATCCAAGAAGACAAGAGAACGTCAGTTACAAGACTTTGCTGCTTGAAGGGCATAACAGGTACGGCATACGCACCGAGATACCTTGCCTCATAATAGCAAGGCACATGGATTTGAAAGCGGCTAGCTGACTCTGGATAAGTGATTCGTTCGAGGTTCGTTCTGGACGATAGTCATTAACAATTCTAGCAATACAATCATTTAGTATCACGAGATACGCGTTTGAGAATCTAGTTTCGTAGTAAGCAGTACTTGATGCACTATCCACTTGTTTCCCAATGACAAACGTGGAACTGATGGTTATAGGGGTAAAGAGTTTATCTTCAACGCTATGGTTCTTAGTGTCAGAAATTGCATGTTGGATATGCTCAACTGATTGTTTAGCCTTTCGGTGAGGCTTAGAGGATTTCTTCCTCTGGAGAGGAATGTTTTTGACACTTTTTAAACCACTTATTTTTGTTGACATACTTATTATATAAGGATATTTCAAGATCTATAATAACAAGTAATTAACTAAGTATTAATAGAAATAGATTCTATTCTTCCTGGCTCAGGGGAGACTAATCCCATCAATTCTTCTAGCATTTATATTGAGTATGTTTAGTTGTGATCTCCGCAGTATTCCATGACATCATTCATGTTTTTTATGACAAGGTTTTTAACTTCTTTCTCGATGTCAATCTCAATTTTTAATTCTTTAATTAATTTATTACTTTCTTTATTTATTAATCCATTGATTGAAATTACTACTGGAATTATTTTGAAATCTTTTATTTTCTCTATTTTCATTAGCCTATTCTTTAATTCATTATACTTATTTCTTTTCTTCATTTACACTCAATTAATATTGTGATATTCTACAATAGTCATATCAAATATAGACCAGTTTTATTCTTTTTATCTAATACATATATATCTGGTATTTTGTGATATTGTCATTCACTTTTATGCATTATTTGTTTGTTTATTATCATAGTGATGTCTTTATATTGGAATGTTGTTTCATATGGGGTTTTTATATTGATTATTTCAAGTATATTTTCTTATTAATCAATATTATAATACCAATATTGTCATGTTTCTCCATTTGTGATTTATTATGATAAATACAAGATAGTAGAATGTGTTGTACTGTAACTATCTTGTCTTTACAAAGTGTGGAGTATTTTAATCTTTCATTTTTCATTATTTTTGATTTTCTATACCCACAAAATATTGCTCCATCTTGCATTTTAGTTAATTGGAGAAATGCATTCTTTTTAATATTGATGGACTTCCATGCCTTCATTGTAGTAGTTTTATCCACTCATTTTGACTCATTCCATCTTCTAAAATATCCATTTGTTTGATGACACTACTATTTTTTGATGTATTTATCATTAACATCTTTATTGATTATTCAAATTTCTTCACTACTTTCTGTCATTATTCTCAAATCATCCATATATAATGTGTGATTTGATTTTGGGAATTTCTCTTCGATGATTTGAGAAATTACATTCATCTGAATGATGAAGAGTAGATTTGATAATGAATCATTTGTAAAATTCCTCTATTTAATTTAATATTGCCTAGATATTCATTAAATTTATAACCAATGAATATCTTCAATCTAGTCATCATACTTTCAATTATGTCAATGATGACATCCTCTACATTAAAATACTTTAATGATTCAATTACCCATTCGTGGTTTACTGTGTCATATGTTTTCTTAATGTCATAATATGACTCCACATATTTTGGGTATTTTTCTTCTTTCTGCTGCTTTAACATATAACTATTAATTATTCCTTCTTTAGCAGGGAGAGATTGTAATTTACATCTCAATTGTTTATTACTAATTTTCAATGATTCACAATTCATGTTAAGTCTTCTGTGAATCTTTTCTTTTAATATTGAGGTAAATACTTTCATAATTACATTTGTACAACTGATAGGACGATAATTAGTGACATCGTTCCTATCACTTTGTGGATTAATAAAGTTCATCCACTTATCATGTCTAATTTGATGTTTTCAGGGAAGTTCAACCATTCATTGAAGATATTAAGAATGATTTCTCTTGATGATGACATCCTTTTCAAATAATACCCATATATAGTGTCTATTCCTGGTGCTTTCCAGTTACTTATTCTCTTTAAACTTAAATTTAATTCATTTAATGTTATAATGACACTATCATAATTTCTATATCTTTCATTCCACGAGGTGATTTGTTTTATTTTCCATTTCTCTTTATTTAATATCACATGTGTTTCATATAATGATTTCCAATATTATAAAGTAATATCGTTATTTGGGTATATTTCATTTGTTGTTTCTTCCTTATTCTAATTTTCTTATTAGAATCAAGCATGATTTTATTTGTATTGATTCTGACTATTTCATCTTTATTAAATTTAATTCTTTTATCATTGTCATCATATATTTCAGGTACTTTATTCTTTCTAGTGCTTTAACTTTTATTCCTTCTTCATCATGTTCATTTAATTTCATGATGCACTTTATTCTGTACCATTTTCTTCCCTTGACAAAATCTTCTAGTCTATTGATTTTCTTTAGGATTTCTTTTATTTCATCAAATTTGTCTCCTATTATTTTATTTTGGAGATAGAGATACATACAAATTGAAATATTCATATCATCTTACAGATCCTGCATTCTGCTTCCTGACATTATCCATCTATTATTAATTTCCATTATTAATCGGTCAGTTTCTTTTCTTTTCCAGTAGTAATTAATGTTTGTACATTTTTCTATTTTCATTTCTTTTATTTTATTGATGAGAGTGCTAAGGTATTCTTCATCAATTTCTGTAGAGTTATTCTTTAATATGATGTTTTTTCTTTATTATTGAATCACACTCTACTCTTCTATTATATCATTTACTTTCACTTTAATGTATTGTTTAATGCTTTCTTTTATTTTATGTGATATTTTAATATATTTAATATATTCATTTTCATTATTTACATTGATATTTATCATTTTTATTATACTTTCTATTTGCTCCCATCTTAATTTCTTATATAATTTCTTATTTAACCAATTAATTTCAAAACAATACAACACTTCAATTAAAATTCTATTTCTTTCTTTTGTTGTATTTCTTCTTGTATTTTCATTGTACTTTCTTTGGTATTTTTTATTCTTGCAATTTTACATGTTTCATTCATTTCTTTATTTGTATTTTGTTTTTAATTTCTTCTTCATTTGTTTTAATGTCTTCTTCTTCTCAATCTTTTGTTTTTTTCTTTAATTTCTTCTTTGATTCTTTCATTTATCTTTTTCTTTTGATTGAATATACTTCTTAAAGAATATCATACCATCTTTTCCTTTTATCTTCTTACTTCTTGTGTATTTCTTCATATTCTCCTTCTTTCCATTCACTTGTTATTCTTTTTATTCTTTCTTGTATATCATTTCTTGTTATTCATTTATATTTGTTATTTGTATAATATTTATTATTATTATATTTACCTTGTTTCTTATTTGTTTTTATTTGTGTCTTTCGTTTTCTAACCCATTTTCATTTGGTATATCGTTTACCTTTATTATTATAATTGTTATGCCATTTATTGCTATTGACATTTCTTTTTTTTATTGTATGACCTTGAATTTCTATGTCTTGTTTGCTTTTTTTTCTTTACAATACCCGTTATTATTTATTACTCAATAGTCATGGCACTAAAATTTGTTGTATTTCCTGTATTGGAAAAATGTATTAAAAAAATATATAAATAAAAAATTTAAATTTCTTCTAGAAAAGATTATTGAATTTTAATTCTTTTTTTTTTAAGATATAGAACTGGGAGGTTATAGTTAAAGATTCAATAAAATGTTGTGGATTTTCTTTATTGTTTTAGTTCAGTCAGTACAAACCTTTTATACACCGTGTATGGTTTGTTTTATTTTATTAAAATAAAAAAGAGAAAGAAAACGAAGAGAATAATAATAATAAAGACTACATACAGAGTTGGATCTATTGATAATATTGGAAAGAAAGGGGTTTTTGGATTAAATTCAAAAATGAATGAAGAATGTTTTTCTAAAATTCCAAATTATAAAAAAATTGTTTCAGGACATTCAATTGGAGCAGAATGTTATGTTCATGAAGATTTTATGAAGAATCATTTTAGTGATGCTAATATATCACGATGTGGACAATGTTTTGAATTGTTTGGTCCATCATTAAAACCTTTTACATGTATGATTGCAGGTTCATATTGGGCCAATTTAACGGTTATATCAAAAAGTAGTATAGCAAGAAGTATTATAGTAAATTCAGATGCATTTAATTATTTAGTTACAGAAAATCAAGATACATCAAAACTTGCATCACAAATATCAATTAGATTAGTTGATTGTCCATTTACTGTTCAACCTAAAATAGCTGTTATTGATGAAACTTTTTCTGAATATATTTTTCAACCATTTAATTCTAATTTATTAACA